ACAACCAATAAAGCGTTGCGTTTGAATTGCAAATGTCTCTACAAATCCAACAGCTAAGTAGATATATTCCCACGTCTATTAGACCTAAACGCAGAGCTAGAGGGCATTGAGTTGTGTTTAAGCAAGTTGAATTGTTCGCGCGATACTTGTAAGCGCGGCCAAACTGATTTTAAGTGCAAATAAATAGTTTATAGCAATTGTAACGCAATAAATTCTGTAAGGATGATACTTACATTCATTAAGACTGGCAATGTGCCATTCTGAGGACGTTTCCGGCAAGCTCCGGCAGCCACCGATTCGTTCTGGCGACGCCTGAATTACAATTGCAAGCGGACGCGTTTGTACCATGTGTCATTTAATTTAAAACACCCGAAAAATGATTTGATTTAGGAAATCCAGGAAAAGTTAAATGGACTGCGGAAATTAAATTTTAATTCTAAAGAAAATATAGCAACTCGCCGTGTTTGAGAAACATCTATCCATGTAGGTCAACAAACCGAGAAGCTTTTATCAAACGCAATATACAATTCTGTATCGATAGCGTATTGGAACCGCACGCGGCGTGCAAACCTTATCTAAACTCCGACGCTTCCCACATTGCCATAAAGCCTTAGCAAGTAACTATATCGCACTTGTTAGTTATTAAACAAAATATCAAGACAATTTCCGACTGTTATATCGGTAAACTATCAAACTTTTCGTTTTAAAATCGATCATTCTGTTTTATACTATGTAGCTAAATAAATCACGTTTATGAAATGTACTTACTGTTTTGCATTGAAAACTAAGTTAATAATAAAATTATTATAACAAAACAATGAATTGAACAACTGCCTGCTAGTGAGGCTTGTGGAACACTAAGCAGCAAGCAAACTGGCTATGACAGTGAATTCATAGTTAGGTGACGTTTAGAGTTCAGTAGGTCGAATTGGGCAAAGCAAGCTATGGTTATTAATATCTTAGATATATTTAAACACCCTATTTCAATTAAATGCAAAACATTACATCCGTCAAGTTTATTCAATAAACATTTCGAAAACAAAGAACGATAATAGTTTATAATTAGAAATATTGTTCTGGTGCAGAGGTCAACACGCATCGCCTCGCAATTTCCAATGGCTCGCTTATATTTTATATTAGCTGACACATTTTATCAGATTATTGAACTTAAAACAACTTATTTTGTACGCATTTTTCTATACACGGAAAAAGGTGCAGTTTTTTAATAATATGTCGCAGCATTACATTTGACCTTTTATGTGACTACTTATTTTAGAGGCACTTGATATGTTCTTTCCAAAGAAACAATGGACGGTCGATAATCAATTACTTATCATGTAAAGCAATCAAAGATAGCAACTTATTGGAATTTTAGCACCACCTTGATAAGTTTGATCACTTTTTTCACGCTTGTCTGTCACACTTGACAGATGTTCAATTATGTAAAAAGAATCACGTCATTATTGGACGAAAATAAATACGTTTTTGTGTTATTGAAGCAATGCTTGTACTTTACTTTTTCAGTTTGCATACTTTTTAGCGCTATAACACTTGAATGTTTGATTTATTAAACGATATCGTCTGGTAATCGTTTGTTTAATTATTTTGTTCAGTCTGAGGTCACAACGCTAATTAACTGGCGTGGAAACACTCGAGGAATGCACGTGAGATCCGCAAGACCAACGGCCTCTTGACTGGTTTAATTATTCGCACGAAACCATTCAAAGTGAGGCATCCATTATGATAAAGAGGATCAGTTTGTTAGTTATAAAAGCCAAGTGAATATCTCAAAATTATTTCAACTATTCGCTGTTGGACTCTGACCAAATCGTTCGCAAAAGTGAAAGCTGCTTGTTAAATTTATAGCAGCTGAATAGTACTAGCTTAATTGCAATAAATCACTATCTTATCGATATTTAGAATTGTTAATAGTTTTCATATCACGGGGACGGTACGTCGAGTCGTCATTATCAGCTTATTATCAGTCAACAAACTTTTATTGAAGCCCGATTAGGCATTGAGGACCATGAGTTGCATACCTATTCTTTTAATTTCTAGACATTACAATTAAACCTGTGTGGAATTAAAGTTCAAAGACGTGGACAAATTTACTCAGCGTGTGAAATTTAGACTGTCCAAAATATTTCTCATAATACTCAGTGTGCAAGGATTCTTAAACAAGCAAAACTATTTACTATGCTAAACTTCTAGTTATAACGACATAATACTGCGCAGTAATAGACACTATCGGGGCCACGAGTTCCTCATTGCTGTGCAAAAAAAAACTTTAATTTTTTGTAGTACTATCGAGATGAAAAAGAATCAGACGGTGTGCACGCGTTGATCGGCGCGAGTTTTTTCAAGCCCTGGACGTCCTTGCGAGGCGCGCCAGCGTCACGCACCGTCGACCTACAGCTGTTTGTTTGACAACAAACTACGCGATATGGAACATGTTATCAGGGCAAATTCAATGGTAACACTTCACACAACCGTTGTGACGTAGTGCAGATGAAGCGTCAACCAACCTATCATACAGCACCAATGGAAAAATTATTCTGTTCGGGTGACTCCTTGTTTTGTTATCGTTAAACATGGTTAATACATCAGACGCGTGTATGACGTTGTTAATCGTGAAATTGATTCAGCGGGTGATTTAGTGAAATGATGACGCCACCTGTTCTACGCAACTTCGATGAAACATCAACACTAGTACCTAATTAATAAAACAGTATGAAGACTGCTTTAATTATGTTACCCATGTTCAACATTCAGTTACAAATATTAAATAAATGTTGTGACATAAAGCATGTAATGTCCATAAAATCTGAGATGAGACTCGTAAATTTGGCAGACCCGTTTTCATCATCCTTATAAAGTACCAACTTATAAAATTCACCCACATTTATTTATAATTGTCCGCGTATTTGACAATACAGCGCGGAGATCTCATCCAAGAAGGCATTTTGTGCATCCACTTTCACCAATATAAGCACGCCAGTAGATTGCACCGCGAGTTAGAAAATGTACGCGCGGATAATTCTCTCGAATTGTCACTTGCAAATATCTATTTAAGAGGCGAAGAAGTCTGGAGGGTGATACGTATATTCTTAATAAGACAGATGTTCCAATTTAACTTAAAGTAATCACTATCAGAAACAGTCGCACCAGTAAGTAACTAATGTATCCGAGATAAGTGTGTTACATTATTAAGTGGGTTAGAAATCTACTTTGCTTGCACGTAACATTTAATTAATTGATCTTTGTTCTGGTCTCTGTTTAATACGTGTTCATTAGTGTTCATGCTTCATTCGACAAAATGTGAGTGGTTATAAAACACTATTTCAATATTCAGACGAAGAGGAGTTCAGTTATAAATTACAACAGTCACTACACTACATTATTTTTAATATGATCAATGGCCAAGAAAATGATATGTTCATTGAATGAATCTCCTTAGACCTACCTCCATGTTTGCATTGGATAAATATCCAATTATGAATAATGGAATCCATTAAAATCGGGTCAATAGTTCTCGCGATTAGACCGCTTGTATTGTGAGATAATAAATACTACGACCTGATTTAACAATGGATTTACTACGTTTTATTACGTTCTGCATTAATCAATTGCAGACTTCTGTTCTGTGCACCAGCTTTTCGTGGCAAAAGGGGGTCCAAGTTATAAAACGAGGCTGAAAAGTGCTGATCAATATGAGCATTTGTATGGGATAGGACTTAAAACGAGCAGACGGATCCCTTTATGGTAAGCAATCAACGAACTCCCTTGGACACCTGCAGGCCCAGAGGAGTTGCAAGGGCTTTGCCTGCTTTCTTAGGGTTAGATATTTGAGGATTAGGAGGGTTGGAGAAGGAAGGCTTAGGTTAGGCGTCATTTTCCTTGAACAAGGAATAAATAAAAACTCCTGTTTTATCCATAATTTCATCTACATTCGTGTCCATGTTAAAAGTAATTGACTCAATTCATGGAGCTGCCATATGTGCCAATGATTCCATGAATGGACAGAAGTTCAAAAACAGTACGTTTAGACAATGGGCTATTGAAAAAACTCGAGGAAACTTTACAAGCAATAAAATAACGGGAGCTGACATAAGTGCTATTTTAAAGTACCTACAATACCACTAAAAACAACAACGATGCTCTAAGGAATCGAAACAAACTTTAATTATAACAGCTTCTGCTTAAGTATCTTAGTCACATTAAGTGAGTACTTAGTTGAACTATTTTAAGCACAAATGGTAGTGCATGTGAGTCGATCAGAAGCGAATGGAAGGTTCGGGTTTCACGGCCTTCGGTCCTCTACTCGATTACCAACGACGCCAGTGACGTAGGTGCGCTGGCGCCTGTACCAACTTCTTTGCGGCTTCGTGTCATGAATACATGAGGAAGTCTTTAGTGTTGTGAATAAATTCGCGGTTTTATTCAGGGTTACTCAAGGAATGCGGTTTACACTGCCGAGTTTCGAGTATAGATGTAATTGTACGTGACCACAATCACAGGTACAAGCCTAACTGCACAAATGCAAACAAATTAACTGTTAATAAAAATAATGTAAACTACCTATTTAAGGATCGTAGGATTGTGAGAAATCTAGTGTAAAAAAGGAGTACGTATCGTTGCAGGCCAGACGAAAAAGAACGCACGGCCGTCGCTTTTTTAGCCAGGCAGTAGATCGGGTGCGTTGCGCGTGAGTCACCGGCGGCATACCGGCGCGCACCATGCACTGTACGTGTCAACCACCTATTTATGTCGCTGGTCGCAGGACGAAGCGCAAATAAACAGCATCAAAGGGACGTTGGATTCCGCCCGGCGACGGTGCGAGCACCAACCAAAAGCAACAAAAACAACCACCATTGTCTACGGATGAGTTATTTTCGCAAATAGATACGGATTCGCCACTTGCTGTATGCAACTTCTGTCGCTATCCGCTAATGCTAAGTTAAGATCCTTACGACTTCCAACTTCAAGCATAATTACATGGCCTAAGTTGCCTTGATACTTCCATTTCTTGTGAGACGAATTTCACCACATTTGTTGGTGTATGTGATTTTGATCAGAAGGATAATGTCATAAATTTCAATAGTTAAGTAATCATTATTTATCCTGGTGTAGGTAGTTGCATTGGAAACTACAATTATTTTTCTGTTAATGATAAATATTTTTGAATAATATAAAGTAAATTTTTTTTACTTACTTCTTTAGTAGATATTTAAATGATGAGATTCATAACAACTTGTGGGAAATACGTAATATATTAGTGAATATGTACAAACCCAGTTATTTTTTTTAATGTCACCTTCAATGAACAAGGCATGAAATCAGTCAATTCATAATGAATTTAGTTAATCATTGTTTTAATAAGTCAATAATATTGTTTTATTAATACCAGACACTTATTACAATTTCAGATTTTTCATATGCTTAGTTTCAATTTACTTATTACATACACCACTTTCCTTTGACATGAGATAAAGTAAAAAAGGAGTACAAGTTAAAAAAAAACTAAAAACTAAATACTTAATACTAAAATAAGTGAAGTAGGTACATTTTGTACCTACCCACCTATATTAGATTGAATATAATATATTCATTTACACTTTTGTCTACTCTACTCTTAAAGGACAATCATCCTCGGTAAGAAAAGTTAAGAGTGGTTAAAGAGTTGTATGAAAAAGTTTGGCTATTTATACACACAATAATTAAATACTTATATAGAAACAAAATGTTTGGTGTTTTAAATATATTATTAAAACATGGGCATCAATTTTAAACAACAACACTACCTAAAAATTAAATTCATGTACCACAGACATTTCCTTTATGTGTGCAGAAAAAACTTAGTAATGCAGTGTTTAAATGAGAATAACATAATGTGTTTTTTTACAAACTTATAAGAAAATATTTTCTTTTTAAAAAATGATTTTTAATTCAATCTTAACTTTCAACTTTCTAAATCGGTATTTAATTTTTTACCATGTAGATGTGACATTCACTTAGACTAGCTCACATCATACCATCACACATGAATCTGATTGGAAAAAGTAGACAGATAGTGAAGAGATTATGATCTACAAAGTATTGTGGGTGGATATAGCACACATAGTAAGTAGAATCTGCTATGTATGTTGCAAGCTCAAGGCATTTTGATAGGAGAGAATCCTTAAACTGGGAATACTTGACTAAGTATTTAGGTGAGAAAGCATGTAAAGACATAAGTAAATGGTGAAATGAGACTGACCTTTCATCCTCTGGTGGCGGCGCGGGCTGCGGCTCCTCCTTGCCATCACCAGTATCTCCAGCCTGCAGTGTGTCCGCAGACACATCCGGAGCACCACTATCACATGCATTCACATTCACACTGGTCATCACCGCGCCACTGATGGCATGAGACACCGCACTCACGGGGCTACCGAAGCCCTGACTGTCATGACCCGGCTGCGCCGTGTTCGCTACGTACGCGGTAGAACTCACTGGCATCGACACCACCGGCGAATTAGTCCCCGAGACGGTCGCTTCGACCGGCGCTACACTACTCTGCGACATCACCGGCACCACGTTCCCGTAGCTCAGACCCATGCTGGTCTGAGACTGCACCACGTTCGGGTGAACTCCACCGCCCATACCGACCGGCATGCTGGGCTGCATCATCGGAATGTTCTGGTGTGCCATTGAGACTTGCGCTACGGGTTGGTTGGACACGTATTGCACGCCGCCCATCTGCGCCTGTCCTCCCACTTGTTGTGGTAACAGGTTTTGCTGTCCCATGTGCTGGCCGACAGGCATTTGTTGACCGACATTCGTAGGCTGCATGAATATAGGATCTGAGGCGGGTATCATACTAGGCTGATTCCCGTCTAGAGTCATCTGCATATTCTGTGGAGCTGCGGTCATCATCATGTTTCCTTGTGGCACATTCCCTTGCTGCGGAGCAATAGTATGTACAGTATTAGGCTGCTGCTGAGCAGTAAGGCTCTGAAGATTCGCAGGTAATGTTGAGCCTTGTGGTTGAGAAGGCATTGGTTGTAGGTTTGAAGGTAATGTTGCACCTTGCTGTGATGTAACTATAGAAGTGAGCACCTCTTGAGGCAAAGTTTGCCCCTGCTGGGTCATCTGTGATTGCTGTGTGTGGTATTGAGGAACTGTGTGTTGAGGTTGAACCATTTGCTGCTGTGATGATGGCATGGTTGCTGTAATCATAGACTGAGCATTGGACTGCTGACTCACAGCTTGATTGTACTGCTGCTGAACTCCAGACATTCCCTGCTGTTGCATTTGAGGATGCATGCCAGGTACAACTGACTGCTGGGGCTGTGATGGCAACTGATGCATTTGAGTTTGCATCTGTGGCATCTGTTGATTAGTTCCAGTGAGTTGAGTAGGCATCTGCATCTGTTGAATGTGATTGGGTATTTGTTGGTTTTGCAGAGCTTGTATCTGCGCTTGACTTGGCAAATGCTGGAGTTGAGCCTGCTGGGCACCCATTGGCTGCTGTCCTTGCATGTGATGAGTTTGTCCCATGTTGGGAATTTGTGTCTGCTGCATATGCATTTGTGGATTAGGTTGGCCTTGTATTTGCTGCATCTGCATTTGTTGCATTTGTGGCTGCTGAGTGGCCACTTGCGTAATCTGTCCTTGATTTGACATAGCCTGCATCTGGGGCATTTGTTGCTGCATTTGAGGCATGTTTGGTATCTGCGCCTGGGGCATGTGTTGACTCATTTGCTGCATTTGTTGGTTTGGTATTTGTTGCATTTGCTGCGGCATCTGCTGGTGCATTGGTATTTGTTGCATCGCCATGCCCTGAGACTGAGCAATGACTTGCTGAAGCTGGTGCTGAGGGAAGCTCTGAGGGATCTGTTGCACTTGCTGTTGTTGAGTCTGTTGAGGATGGTTTTGTGGAGCATTTTGCATAGTGATGTGCGTCATACTCTGGGGGTGCTGCTGTCCCACCTGCTGCTGGTTTGCCTGCAGATTTTGATTTGGCATCTGTTGTGGCATTTCTAAGGGTGGAGACTGTACTGATACAGACTGAGTAACTGGTTGCATTTGCTGCTGCACTGCATTAAGAGGTTGAGTCAAAGATTGGCCAGGAGATGCCATTGGAAATTGTTTCTGAAGAGTTTGTTCTAGTTGCTGCACAGTTGGAGCGTTACCTTGCATATCTTTAGGCCCTTTGTTGGTCAGATCATTTGACATTTCATCATGTTGACTATCATTAATCACTACACCACTGTCAGGAGCCTGCAGAGTATTAGTCTCAGATACATCAAGGTTATTATTTATAGTGATTGGTGCATTTTGCTGAGTAGTATGATCCAAGTAATCCATACACATCCATCGACCTCTACGAAAAGGCTCAGTGCTTTCTATTTTCACAACTTTAAACCGTTCATTCCTAACATGTTCTTGTATTTCTTTCATACCTTCTTGGGGTTTCGCATTTCCTATGAGATTAATGATGCTGCCTGCTCCGGCGTTAGTAACACTGACATGCATGTCAGACACTTCTGTATTATTACTATTTGGCACTGCTCCTCCTATCTGGTTGGTAGCGTTGTCCTGACCGACGATCGCAAGCCCGTATTGCGAGCTGGTCGGGATGACGGGGGCGCAACCTAGTGATGCACTTGACGCGTTGTAAAACACATCATCTTTCGAGAACGTGTCCTCGGAATAACTAGGCGTTTCATTCTCAATGTCAGTCACCCTCGATATGTCGTCGGTGTGAGATTCATCAAGATCGTCGGCAGAGTCTTCGCCAGCATCAGTGCTCACTCGCGAGCCGACCGTCACACTGGTGATCTGAAATGAAGATATTTTCCTTGGGTTATGGGCGGCTTGCAGACTTGTCGGGTGAGTCACCCCCTTCTCCGACTCGTTCAGTCGAAGAGATTCACTCGTCGTACGGTGAACAACGTTGTTATACTTGTTTTTCTCACTAGTTTTATGTGACTTTTGAATCAGATTGTCAGCCATTATGCCGTCCGAACCGAATGACTATCTAAAGAAAATTTCACTGTTTATTGGCTTCAGAGACATTTGATAGACTTTTCAATCACAATAATACATGAAATATAAAACCATTGTACACTCACAATTTCACAAACACAGTAATTTAACTATTTAAGTTCTTAAAATTCATTAGTAAACACACACAGTTGCGAACATCTTTCAGACGGCAGCAACATGGCGGCCATTTATGCGCAATGCATTATGGTTGACAATTTGCAGTAGACTATAGACATTCTAGAGTTTTGACTTGTTTACCTTTACTTGCCGATAGATGGCACTATCACTTAAATTCTAATTTATATTCTAATAAGAAATTTCATATTAACAGTGTAAAAAATTGTAGAAATGTTATAGAACAGTTTGTTAAATATAAAAGATTTTTTATTACTAAAAATAAATCATCATAAATCGTTTACTCGCTATGTACACATACCTACGCATTTATATTAACAAGTAGCGCGTAGCAATAGCAATACAACTCGATTGATATTGGTATATTTTTAGATATTTGACAAGCATTCCGATGTTCTATTATAATCTTTCAAAGCCACTTTTAATAAATTAATCTAATTCAATTATAGCGTTAAATATCGTTAGACTATCTTTTATCGTAAAACCTTAACAATGCATTGAAAGAGTACTGTTAGTTTTGTACAATTATATATAAAATAAGTATACTTACGTATATTTGACGGAGATAATAAAAAATAAATAACATCACAAATATTACAGTGTTCTGCGTTGAGCTCCACTTTTAAATACTTAGCTACTCCACACTAGATGGCGCTCAATAATATGGTGAACCTTATTGTACGTACCAGTAGATGGCAGTTTAATCAATGTAAATGCACGGATCGGATGGCAATAACAAGGGCTTGAGAGCTAATGCTAGAATACGTGTCTACGGATTATTTATGTAAGTAGGATGGTAACTTTGGAAAATGCCGCAACTATTTTTAAGTAAATTAATTCAAAACTTTCATTTGAAGATTCAGACAAAACTACCTACATAAATAGGTCCTAATAATATGATTAAGTATAGATAGGTACCTAAGTACTTACCTACTATAAAACACAACAACAAAATGAAACAGAATTGCTTTATTATCAATTTCAGGTGATACGAAACAGCCCAATAATTCATAAAGTACCTAGTTAAAAGCTTGAAAAAAATCTTAAATACTTTTAAGGATTTTTTTTCCTATAGATGTCGGAAACTAATTAGCTTATTTGTCTGTGTCGTGACTGAAGACCTATTTTGAGCCTTACATTTTATCCAAACAACTACACCGTTAATAACGGTTGACGCTAAGTATTGCTTGATTAGTAGCATGATTTACTGTAAACAATTGGTCCTTTTCAACCTCCAACACTTCACTGTGATTGTCTTACAGGTACCAATATGGTGGTTAGATAATCTTAGTAACATTGACAATCAATACTTATTATGGTCTTGTTTACTTAATTATACCTATGACATTACCGAAGGTCAAAAGGGCAAAATATTTCATTAGATATTGAATTCGCTCAGCCACAAAGTATATTAGTCTCAGTCTTCTTCCACTGAATTATTTTGAAATTGACATTGATGGTCTTATAAAGGACGAACAAAATATTTCCATACATTAATAAACATAATAATAATTCCATCACGACTTCTTGATGCAACACTGATAATAAATATTGTATTCCATAGGCGAAGAACAATAAAATGAAAGACTTACTTACAAATGGTGAGAGTAGCTCCAGAGTTTGCGCTAATTCGCGATGCGCGCCTTCGTGTCGGGAACTAAAGGACCGAGCGCCCCGACCCCAGCCATTACCCACAAGGTCTTCGGATCGCCAGCCGATTTAGCCAACATCCCCACCAATCGCCGTGACACTTCTTAAACGAAGGTAATTTGCTATTATTTGTAAATTGGTGTGCCGAGCGACGTCCGCCGAGATCTAACCGAGGCGCAGTCGCTCGGGAGCACGGGACCCTCCCTGGCTCTCCCGCTGGCTCCGACCATACATATGTTCATTACAACTAAACTAAAACTCCGTGAAGAACCCTTATGTAAATAATCGTCGCAACACTGACAGCCTTTGCTACCGAAACGAGCGCCAGTCGATAAGATATAGCCCACCTATAAACATCCTTTCGTTATGAAAATGTGAATGTGAGTGATTCCGATATGGCGAAGTCTGTTGAAGTGAATAAAAACAGTGAAGACGATTCAACCATGGACGGGGATAGTGACGAGGAGTTAGGATGCGTGGGGAGGCTGATGGTGAAGTTGCGGATCAACCCAAACTTGATCATGTTGAAAGTGACTCTGTTTGTTATGTACGGAGCCACAGCATCTCTCTTGCCGTATCTGACGATACACATGCAGAGTATAGGACTGACTGTGCCCGAAATTTCTTTTGTGTATTTAGCGTTGCCATTCACAACATTTCTTAGTCCACCTATAACCGGTAAGTTTAAATTGTGTACTATAAAGTGACTCTGTGTACAGTGTATTTAGAAAATTTTAATGGTTTTAGGGTTTTTGGTGGACCGCTTTGGGGAGTATAAGCCAGTCGTGATCACTGCATTGATTTTGAATGCTGCTTTCCACCACTCGTTACTGCTGATTCCTCACCAAGAGACACCAGGGATGATGCCATCAGCTTACGTCATGCGCCACCCGATTACGAATAGCGTAGAGGTACTTATACTTGTTTCGAAATCGACCCCTTAAGACCTTGTTACGTACTAACAGAGTATACACCTAAGAATTTGAGCAAATCGTTCTCATCCGGCCCCAGGGCGAATTAACTAGTAGTGTCTTGTGATCCTGTATGTTTGAATTAGTTAAGAGAATTAAGCTAAATTTATGCACGTTGGACTTTACCCTTGATCTAATGGTTCATCCGCTTTGTTTTGAATCCAGATAATAATGGAAATTAAAGGTACCATCAAGAATGTCACGGTCTATAAATAGTCGTTGTATTGTTGTGGGATGTGATATTATTTTGACCTGTTATTGTTTTTTCTTAGATTTGGTGGAGTCCATGCCCCAGCAGGGAATGTCCTGGCGAAGACGAAACAGTAGATTTTGTACTAGATCGTTGCGTTGATCATTGTCTTCTGTCGAAACCTACAGAGACCCCACCTAGCGATCCTTCAGATGACAAAGACGATTTGGATTTCCATATTAGTCATAAGGTTCAGCTACCAAACTTAAAGTCTAACCTCAGGTAAGAAATTTCTTTTCAGAATTGCATCAACATTTTTATTTTATAATCGGCCATTTAGTTCTGAAGCACCACATAGTAAAATTAAATAATTAATTTAATAACACGAATATTATTTAAGTGAAATGCGCAGCAGTAATCATGTAAATAGCGTTATTGCTCATGTTAAATAACAGTGATAACACTACGCTACAGTTTCAAACAAACATTACAGTACTTTGTTTTTGAATCTCGATTGTATATCAGGTTTTATTGTTAAGCCACCAGACAAAATTCCTTAGGCTTTGTAGGGCAAACATTTTGTTTCCACGAAAATGAAATAAATTATATTTTACCACCGTATTCATAGTCTGTTTCTCATAAATAAATTCTTTGTTTACAAAGAAATGGAATTACTCATCAAAAGAATAAATAATGTGTTGATTACTTATCACGGATCATGAGAATAAGCGGCATAGTCCATGCCATTGCCGAGCACTTATGTTCTAGGATAGGTGCTGAGACCAAATAAACTTAAATATATATAATATTTCTCCATAATACTTACCACAGTGTCCTGTTTTGGTATTGTATTATATATTGGTATTTATGATCCAGCTAGACATTTCAATAATTTGAATGCTGGATCATAAATACAACAGATATGACTTTTTAAAAGGCATTTAATTGGTAAACCTATTTCCAGTTTCTTAAATGGTACAGACGACGAAGATTATAATGACGCCGCATACTTTTTGATTGAAGTTCACGATGATCTGGAAGAACCGAAAGAACAGCTTGGCATTGAGATGGAAAGGGTAAGGGAGACAACAGAAGCAGTACAACCAGTAATAATAGATAATACATTTAACCTTAATTCAAACTTCTTTTATAGGATGACGACGAACGAATAACAGATTTTAGATCAAGGTTTGGAGAAAAGCTTTTAATAGCGCAAGGCATAAATATAACAGAACTCGATAAGGAGGACCTCCGCTGTGGTGGGCTCGTCATGTTGCATAACATGACCAAACTCTCCCAACAAAGGCTTGAGATTTTATCGGCAGATTGCATGGTACAAAAATGTGACTTCAGGTAATGTAGCAACAGGCATTTCTACTAATACCTCTATTTGATTATAATATTATTTGTAAACCAACTACTTAATATTTATCTAAAGGTACACAAACGGCTATCTAAAAGTAAATTTATCATTGGAATATTACAGGAGAGGCGGCCCCGATACCTGTCCACCGGATTATAAGGAAAGCGATGATAAAACTTTCTATATTTACTTTTTCTTGAGATTCATGGGGACCATCATGTTGTCTGCTGGCGTCACAATCATGGATCCTATAGCATTGACTATGATTCAAAAATACGGCGGAGACTTTGGAAGAGAAAGACTTTTCTCTAGCATCGGGATGGCTATATTTTCCCCCATAACAGGCATGTTAATAGATATGAGGAGTAAACAAGTTGGTTCGTATAATTGTTAGCATCTTGTAATTTGTTATCGTTAATGTCAATAATGTGTAACTAAATGTTTACATCGGATTGTTGATTACAGGATACACTGACTATTCAGCTGCGTTTTATACGTACGACGTGCTTCTTTTAATATCGGCTGTAACTGTCGCCGTCATGCCCTTAGGAGCTAAACTACCAGCGGATAATTTACTGCGAGACTTGGTCAACATAATCAAAATGCCCCATATAATTGTTTTTATATTTTTCCTGTTCGCCCTGGGGAACTTTTGGGGCTTTATAGAATCGTACCTCTTCATATACTTGAAAGAATTGGGAGCTCCTAATTTTTTGTTGGGTAAGTGTATATGTATCTATCTCAAGAGTTATATTATCTAGATTTAGAGTCCAAGCACATTTATATACGATCGACATGATATAGTCAAATATTGAGTGCGTTATGTATCTAGGAATAACCGTGACCGTGGGCACGCTGAGCAGTATCCCGTTCCTCTACGGCGCGGATGCCATCACTGCGCGCATTGGCCACGTGAACGTCATCATAGTTGCATTCTTCTCCCACGCTGCGAGACTCGTCGGCTACTCGTTTATCGAGTGAGTATCTATAGATGTCTTCCTTGTGATTTCACTTATACCTTCTGCATTAGCTGCACGTGATTCTTGTGCACCCACACGTGCATAATCATGAGGCAGTTGTTGTTCTATAATAGACATACTTCTATGATTCCAGCAATGTCCTATAATATCTTCTTAAATAATCAGCTTAATAAACTCTTGCATTTTATCGACCGTTAAAACTTGTGGAATGATATAATAATGCGCGAGCTATGTGTAAATACATTTTATTGTCTTGTAGACAATAGTGTTCATAGAGTACCTGATAAGTGCAACCCTGGCACTGACATATTTAGATACAATGCGTCTGTAAGCTTCACTGTCTACGTGTTTGAAAATTTTGCGGAAAGATCGCATAGAAGAACTGGATAAAATTAATACATTAATTAAATGCTCGATTGTATAGATAGTATAGTAAGCTTGTGCATTGTGTTATTTGCAAAACTAATAACCTAAACACGAGCAATCCATTCAGCCGAGGTTGCAGGTCAAGCGAAGTATTGTACCACGGCCTCGTCCTGGAGCAGGACAAGGAATGTAGTGGTTTGAAGTCAGTGAGAATCGGACACTCGGTCACGCTCCATCTAAAGCGGACAAGCAATTTGATGATTTGAACCCCTCAAAAGCACTACCATCTTAAACAGATTGACAATTTGAATTTGAACTCCAAATAATTTAAACAAAGGTGGCCAAGGTTTCATCTCAACCTGTTATTTCCTTAGGAAGTTAGCTATTAAACGAGGAGAAGAAATATTTCAAACAACGTAAAGCAAGTGATAATGATATAAGGTCGACATGACATATGCGGAAATATGTTGAGTCTGCGTAATTTATTCGAAGGAAACGTTACGATAATGATTGGGTATACAACTGATGCTTATCCCGGCCCACACACCAGAATGACCTGTTTCCTTGGATGTGACATCAAGTGCAAGTGTTTTAAAAGACTTCTATAATGATGCGGGTATCGCTTAAAATAGAAATAATTAGAAAACAACACATTATGATAGAATTCAATTGCTTTGAAAGTCGGTAGAGGATTTATTTACGTTTGAAGATAGCGGTTTTAAAGAAGAAAAGTTTGATTAAGTAAGAATTTACTAAGCACCCGAATCGTTTATTTTAGTACCTCATCTCCTTTCCACAAGTTGGGCCTTACAGCAACTACTAAACATTTTAAGAAGTAGTTCTAATACAATAAAACTTAATACGTATTATCTACTTAATTATTTTGGACCAAGAATAAAACAACAAATTTACCAAAGAAACCACATTAGATTAAGCCGTAACTATAAAATGGCTCAGAAATGTCCTTAGACATTAAAACTCCATTTTCAAGATTAATGTATTTACGACGGAACGACATTGCCAAGTTTATGAGCACAATGATGTTGTGTGGGAGGACTCTAATGCAAACACTTACCTGGTGTAGTGCCTACTGTAGTAACTTGTGCTATGGACAATGAAATGAAAATAGATAATCGTATAAAGAGAATTGGTGTCGTGGCCCGGAGTATAAGGTACCTGTTTCTCATGCATGAGAGTGCTCGTAACCTGGCAAGTCGCAATGTCAGAGTTATATGTACTTCTATGATTATTTAGACACCACTGACGTACGGTGAAGAAAAAGATCGCGAGGAAACCTTGACTTATAGTTTCTAATTATAAGTGTAGAATCGCCAATTCGTCTGGAGCAAGCGTCGTGATTAGTACTCGAACCGTATGAGAAGAGGCCTTTTTTGCTCAGCGTGGGCACTTACAGGCAGATGATGATGATGATGATGATGATGATAAAGAGAAACTAATGAACGCTGTTGAAAGCAACGATTAGCATGGAATAAATGGAATTACTACAAGAACCTTAACCTAACCTAGATAAGGAAAACTAGCTGATAAATCAGTGAATGTAACAGGTAGTGATTAAATACAAGAGAGGTTAAGGGCTGAGGAAACGACATCTGAGATTTAATAACGACCTTTGAATATCGTATTTTCATAGGCTTTCAAGGATTCTTAGATCGATTTACCATGTCAGTAACTTTACAGTGTATCAGAAAGGTTTTGATGCGGAAGGGCTGTCGTAATTTCTGGATTCGATTTATGGCTCTACCACGCTATAAATTGTACTATAATTGTATTTATACGTTCAATATGTTTTGATTCTTTCTCTTCTCTCATCCTTATGTTCTTTTTTTCTTTTCAGAAATTCGTGGTGGTGTTTTCCATTTGAAGCTATGGAATCTTTGTCAGTGCATCTAATGTGGGTTGCAGCAGCTACTTACTGCGCAATGCTTGCACCAAAAAGTCTATTGGCTACGTTGATTGGAGTGCTGGGAATGGCACATTTCAGTCTTGGTACGTAAACTTTAAAGGTATTGTAGTCGTTATTGTTAATGAGTATGATATTTAACACCGTGCAATTTGGAAACACATAAAACTTTTATTTTGTGATATAAATGAGAAGAAAGAAGTAGTCGACAAGGCTTTACAAAGCATAAATATATAATAAAATTTCTAAACGTGCCTTAAATAATTATGTTCAGTTTAATATTGATACACTTTAAAACTATAACGATGAATAACAGTAAGCTGAATAATAAACAAGAAAACAGGAGACTGTTTGAAGGAAATAAGATAAACGATCTTCTTCTCATCCTTATGCAAATAGTAGAGAAATCTAAAGCCATACAAAGAATTACAACTTGCCTTACGATTCGAATTCAGATAACATTTTGCGTCATGTATGAAAACAATCGCATAAGCCGTCATTAAATTGCTTGGGAAAGGTTACTATTTCTTTGTTAGTTAGGGTTGCAAATAAATTTCTGACATGGATATCTATACTAATATTATAAAGAGGATATAGGATATAGGATATCTATACTAAGATTGTATTTAGGGGGTAATCTTTGGAACCGCTGGTCGGTCTCGCGCAGTTTCAACCGAGCAGCGGGTGAAACCGCGCGAGAGTAGCTAGTTTATTGTAATCATGCTACCTTTCCTCTTTGTGCACCTAATTTCATTTAGTTATGACTTAGACATTTAGTGTGATTCTTTATGATTCTATTTTACCAGGTAGGGGTAGCGGCAGTTTTGGTGGTGGTCTCCTCATCGCAACCCTAGGTACTAGAGAAGCGTTCCGTTACATGGGATTGATTGCTTTCCTCGGTGGAGTACTGTACGGCCTACTTCATTACTTTTGGTTGAAAAATATTAACGTGACTCGAGTGGGAAGTGTTTGTGATCCGGATACAGGTGAAAATATTGGTAAATATCTTACTCATTGAAATTAATATTACTCTTAAACGTAATCAAAAATACAATAGCAAAGCTTTTTTCGTCGCGAGACAAGTGAAAGTGATTCTGTTCACTACTGACTTGCCTGTTGGTAGCTGTCATATGTAAACCATGGATGGATTTTAATGAATACCTAAATATCAATTTTGTTTTAAATTCCAGTAGAGATTTGAAATTATTTACTATTAAATTAAAAACTGTTCTTACAGAAAGCGGAGAAGGCGACAAGCTGAATGCAGAACCTTTAACTAAAGATGCGGAAACTATGATATCTCTAGAGCGATTGCACATGATCACACGCTTCAATCCACTGGGCTCTCTACATTCCTTGCCAAGGGGCTCACGTTCAAGGGTATGTTGGTTTTCATCATGAATATCTTTAAGTGGTAATTTCTGGCAAAAGTTAAAGGTAGAATTTTTGCATTCTACATTTTCCGGTCAGCTAGTATTTAAAGTTTAAATGCTGATTGTAAAGAAAAGGAAAATATACTCAGTTATCAATAGAATCATGGGGAATGTAATTCTAATTTTCAGCTACGATTTTGGAAATCTAATTAAAAATGGTGGCATAAGTTAATCCAGTTAAACTTCATCTTCCAGTTCTCGCAAGGTGACATCAACGAGCATTGTCGCAGCCGCAGTGGTAGCAACAGCCAGAGACGAGGCAGCAACTACGAAGGTTCTGCTTCGAAGGTGGATATGCTTCGATCTGCCATCGAAATCAGCCATCAACACGGACGAGGACATATTTCAAATAACAGCCTATGCAGTAATAGAACTTCTAATCATTATAAGGTGAGTTTTAGTTGATACAGAATACGGTGAAAACGCTACTAGGCTTTTTGAACACACAAAGGAATTTGTAAGGAAGATTATAATAAATCTCTTGGATCAAGGTTTGGTGTAGATGTTTGAAAAACGTGTGAATACTTTAAAAATTCCAAGGCACCGTTTAATTTTCTAATACTAGCTGATGATAAGGTAGACAATCATAGCAGAAGGGAATTAAAAAAGGAAATAATTTTAAAATAAAAAAGTACTACCAAAACAGAAACAAAGAACAATAAATATTTTACCACAATTTTTCATACGTAGTTAGTGAAGGATATAAATGTATTGACATTATTTAATTATCTGATACAATAGCAAATAGTATGAAACCTTGCGTATGATCTCCATTATGCCTCTATTTGCACGCTCTATCTGTGACGTAGCATTTAAAATTTACAACTGATTAATATAGCATAGTAGGTAGCTTAAGATAGTAAAAAAGTACAACGAGTATAGGCATTCGTAGTTATAAATATTCTAGATCGTAAATTACCTTCAAGTTTGTGTTCTAATTCTATTTACTTGGAAAATTTTAATAAGTACTTTGTATTTATTGTGCTTCATCAAGTGCCACTGCGGCAAGTAAACGTTATTTAAGGACATTGACATATGAACATGGATCTAATTTTTAAGCTCGGTATTCTATTGTTATCCTACATAAATCAATGATAATAAATGTATGTATGTTTGTTATTATTTCACGCAAAAATTGCTGGACTTATTTGGTTGTTATTTGGTATGTAGATAGGATTAACATATAAGCTGCTTTTCATCAACATACCACGCGGGCGAAGCCACTGGCGGAAGCTAGTTATGTATATTGATCAGCATAAATATTTACAGAGACCTTCGTCATGTTACAAGTAAAACATGAAATTTCTTTTTTGCACACTATAGAGTATTTTATTGTATCTTAAAGATTTTATCAGTGTAGCAACAAATTATTAATTCTTTTTTCAATTTTCAGCAAGCACAAAGCGCTCCAAAGTTGGTTCTAGTGGGACTAGGGCAAAGGAATAACATATCGCAACCGGCTCTCTCAGAATACGACCCAAGGCGTCGTGATTCCATTCCCGAGGAAGCTGAAGAGGATCGCCTGGCTTTACCAGCTAAACCACCTACTAAGACCAAGAGTGATAATCTTCCACCTCCACCAAGCTATGATGAAGCTACTGGTGAACACAGGAAAAGTTGGCATTCGGACGACAGCACCCCAACCTAAGGCTACAAAAATATTTCACAAAAACTATAGAAAAGATCGTAAAAGATTTTAACTTTTAACAAACCTAAAAGTTTTCGACCTTCTGAGTTTTTTCCAATCTTTTTTGAGTTTTCGAAAAAAGAACGTTAAAGATTGTGGTTTTGAGCTTAGTCTAGATTGATACAATTTATTTGGTTTAATTGAAATTCTGCGCAATACAAAAGGGTAGATAGTAGCCTAAAACTATAATAATAGAATTTCCTTTAAGTACCTACATAAGATTTAAACTTAAGATATCGCGAGAAAAAATTTAAGGGTCGTCATCGTAGAATCACATTATTAATTTTAATCGCATTATTTTATTAATAAATAAAAATAAGAGTAAGCAATTTTTGTAAAGGCTTTAATTTATTTAAGTTGTAGATAATGGATATTATACATTTCTGTTGTGACGTATTTATTGTTTTATTTACTCGCTTAAGGGTTGATTTTTCAATAGTCAGATAAATGTTATCTGAGGAATAAAATTGTAAGTGTCACTGTCTTAAACAAACAATCTATATATATATACTATAACTTTTATAGTATCATTGAAAAATCAGCCGTAATATAAATAATCCTGATTAGACACTACAGCTGCATATGAACTCATTCCGTGTGCGTAAACGCGTTTAAAAACATAAAATATTATGTATAATGCGTGTGTTAAATAGGTATTACAAAAAAGGAAATGCATTTTAGTTTGAAATATTTATTTCTACAACTAATAATATTTAAGCACAATTAAAATTAAATATGTACTATTGTAGAACATTTTTATTGCCTGTATCCATTTTCATAAGCATTTTGTGATAATTTTGCATAGGGTCATGAAAATGGACACAGATAGTACTTTTCTTAATTTAAATAAATGCATGAATGCTTACTAACATACAAAGAAAATGAACTAAAACTATAGTAAAGTAAATTATAAATACTGAATACAGTAATATTATGGAAGACTTCTTGTAAATGGTTGCAGATTTTTATAAAGGTTTCTCAAATTGTTTATAATGACAGTGCAAAATATACCTTGTATATGTATGTAGAATTTATTATATTGTACCGGCATTGCTTGTATTAAAAAAATCATACGAAAATCTATTTTTGAGAAGTATCACATTTCATATTTTAGAAGGTAAGTTTCAATTCGAATACTAATTAATTGAATGACCAAATTATTTAAAACAATTTTTTTACATTGATGATTTCTTTTTAAATAAGTCTTTCAATGTGTAAAACTAAAATTAGTTTTAGCTCGTTTCTGTGCAATCACGCTGGTTCGTCCTGATAAGGTACGCTCGGCTGATGTGGTTCTTGTCCAGTACTGAATACGCCTTCTCCATAACTTCAACTGGTGGGTTCCTTTCTCTTGTCAAGATCCATGCATTCACTGGAATTTATAATGTATTATGTTTCAACGAGGTTTGATACTAATTTTCAAATATATTATCTCTTAGTCCAGTAGGCGTAGAGATTACGGCAAACACTGAGGCCGATTAAACTTAGTGGAAACCTAGTGGCAACCCTAAAATTCAGTTTCTACGATTTCTCTGTTCTACGTTCTACTATTTCTGGACTACGGGGCAGAAGTGGGTAGGCATGCATTGCCTATGGGCATGCGAGCCACGTGGCAACCTAGACAAAATCTTTCAGATAGAGGAGGGCAAAGTACAACAATGGACAGTGGACTGTGACTGAAATAATTTAATGGTTGTTACTATCTCAGTTTCAAATGTAGGTACATCTGTAATATGTGAGTAAAGTTTTCTGACAAATTATCTGACTAAAGGACAGATATCTACGTTCATCTATGTAAACGTCAATAGCAATAATAAATTACAAAATTGCGTTGTGGTTTGCTGATTGAGGTTACTGGAGGCCCAATGTCCATGTGGGCACATCCCGAATCCCCAAATCCCCTAATCCTCAAATCCTCAAATTTTTTATCCTCTAAAAGGCCGTCAACGTACTTGTAACTCCTTGATGGTGCGGATGTCCAAGGGTGATGCCGATTGCTTAACATCAGGTGAGTCATTCATTTGTTTGGCAGCCCATGTTAAAACTAACGAACAACAGAATAAAACTAACATGTATGGAAGAGTCCAAATTCGTAACAGCTCCATACAACGGCGTACGAGTCGTAGTCAGTGTCAATCACCCAGTAGGGGGCTTCGACGTTCACGGGTAAAGACGGGAAGGACACCGCCAACTTGGCCTCGTCCGATCTGCTCACTTGAGTCGCCTGTCCTTTGATCTCGGTCTCTGTTCCCGACCTGGAAACAAATATCAAGATATTCACAAATTATGGATGGATATATGTATGTGTACGGATGTATGACTGCAAGACTGGAGTTTTCTCCTCGTTCTTCTCCGTTCGAATGTACAATTTGGAACGAGCACCTAGCTTCACTGACAAACAGACAGACTACTATTCTATTTTGACGTTTCAAAAGTACCTTTTTATGTTTTAGTTGGAATAAATGATTTTGATTTGAATGGTTCTAAAAGAAAAACATTGATGATGATGATGATGAATATGATGATGATCACAGTGTTCTAATTTCGGGTTGTTTTAAATAGGTTAGGGATTCGTAAGGGGTATTTGTCACAGTAACCCGGAGATTATGACACCCGGTTTTCGTGCATGACGGAAACCTGATAAGTACCAGTGTGAAATTTTTCGAGCTATATGACTCACGGTGAGCGAGAACATCGTGAGGAAACCTCAGCTGGAGTAAGTTTTAAATCACCAATCCACCTGGTGCAAGTGTGGTGTTTGAATCTCAAACCTTTTTCGCGTGAGGAGATGCCTTTGCTCAGCAGCAAGCGCTTATATGTAAACTGAGCTGTAAGCGTGTATGAGTGATATCAGGGATTTGCACTATCCTACTACGGGACCCGAATAAACATAATTTCATTATTAAAAAACAAATTTGTATTCTCTTTTTAAAATGTATATAAGTACAGGAATGAAAGGATAGATCTAAGCTAAAGAAATCATCAACCCTCTATTGTTTTCACATAAAGTTTTATATCTATTTTCATAAATCGTGGATTTTTTTAATACTCATAGCATTTCGTCTACTTAGATGAACTTATTCAGTTTATGAAGTCTATCGTATCTACTACTTGATATAATGATATTATTGTTCGGCCATGTTGCTTTGTACTTAATATTGTTAAACATTATATGCATCTGGGACGCTGCGACGGTCAGACTCAATGGGCTATATAAAACGTAGGTATGTATTAAATGTTTCATTGTATGTGTACCTTTATGGAATGGGTTCCGTATTGTTTTGAAGACATGCGCCCCGTCAAAATAAACTCTATGTCGATAGATTTATTTGTTTCTTATTATGAGAAATGGTGCATCCGAATTGGTAAACAATCGACGCCGCTCATGGACACCCACAAAACCAGAAGAGGTATACCTACTCGTGAGTGCGTTGCCACCTTTTTGAGGGGCATGGTATGTGAGGCCGTGGTATACTCTGCTTGAGCTGGTCCATTTGTACCGAAGTGTGGTTCTAGCACACTTAAAATTGTGTGTTTTTAAAGGTAAAATATTGATATAAACCCCAAAGATAAAAAGTGTATCTATATATTTTTTGTGTTTGGGAGAACCATGGCAAGCTCGACTCGAGTAATAACCACGGCTTCACAGCAAACAGACGTAATACAAAACTTGCGTTGTGTTTCGTGTGATTGTGGTTCCTGAAGGCCTTTTTTTGGTGTCGGGTTTGGGTTGGAAAATCCTCATGGAGACCCACCGCTCTCGGGGAAGGGCGAAGGGTACTGTCAGTCTCTTACTGACTAAAAATCAACCCGGTGTTCCTACAATTACTATGTGTCGGAGGGGCGGGTATCGCCGAAGCATACGTCGCATCACCCCGACGGGTATTGGCCCGCCAGATGGTACGGCGGGTCCAGTTCCTGAAGGCCTAAACTGTACCCACCCATCCCCAAAATCAAATTCCTTACCCCCAATAGGCTGGCAACGCACTTGAAACTCATAAAAGTCAAAAAGTCAAAAATTTATTATTCCAATTAGACCCTTACAGGCACTTTTGAACGTCAAACAAAATTTTGACATAGTGTCAGTCTGTTGGTCAGTCCTCTTAGTGAAGCTATTTGCTCGTTCTAAAGTGAAGATTCCGATTCCGATGCAGAAGAAATATCATACATAGCCAATTTTTATTATTATAGTCTAGCCACATGTTTGTTATACGATTACCACGTTGTAACAAATCACGCGTTGTAGTTTTAGAACAATTTACGAATACAAGGCCGCGGTAAGGCCGCTAAATTGGCGAATTGGGAGCTAATTATTGTTTTCAGGACACTGTTTGTTAGTTTTTCTAAATATTCGTTTATTTTGTAATGTAACTTAGTTACATTGCAACGTAAAACTCAGCTACAGTTCCATTTTTCTTTGCTACTGATAGGGGTCTCCAGACTTCTGAGATTTTCGCACGACAATAGATTTATCAAGATAGATTAATTGACCCTCGTTAAGACGAAACTGCCTTATCTTGTCTTAAATTCTTTGATTCTACACCATTCAAAATTGGAATCATGGTTCGTAACCATTTTTAAACTATGTCATTCATAATTACTTTCGCTTCTTTCTAGTCAAAGCGTTTCCAAAACCATCAATTTTCGAAAACATAACAGAATTCTTTTTTCAAAACAGCTAACGGTTTTTGAATGGACCGCTATTTTTGGACTGACCATAACTGTAAGACAAATGAGTACCGTAAATAAACTATTTAAAAAAGCAAATCAGGTCAAAGTTCATGTAACTTAGAACATTTTGGACTAATTACATTCCCGTACGGCTAAACAAAGCAACGGAAATTGTAATGCATTTCATTCAATACTGTTAACTTTTTTTATTTGTTATGTAGATTACCTACTGCTTAGTAACATCCGTTTAAATGTTCTTTTTTGCGGTCAACACTTCTTTTCTATTTTAATTTATGGTTATGATTCTCTTAAAAATACTAAGGGCTTTAAATGTTTATTAGCAAATGATACATTTACACGCATCTGTGTTACTTCTTGAATCGGCTATCAATTAATTCGTCTTTAAGTTATCATCTCCCTTTCCTATCCATATATAACACTAGGAGACCCAGCCACGCGTTGCTGTGGCTAAGGTAAATAATATTGTGACTATAAATTGAGATGTAAGCTATCTTATCTTTCAAGTTGGATAAAATGGACACGGAATGCAAATCAAATTTAAAATCGGTTTAGTAGTTTAGGAGTCCATTGCGGACAAACACGTGACACGAAGTTTTTATAAAGAAGGCAATTGGATTAATAATATATAAAGAAGATATACAATTGGTTATTAATAAACAGATATTTTCTTTTAAAAAAATCATTTTCCTGTGTCATAGTTGTGTTTACAAACGTATACAAATGGTTGTTTCGGGCCGGGGTGTGTCCTAAACAACTGAATGTGGATCGCACTACTTACAAAACATTAATTTGCTTGTTGACTACTCCAACGACTCCGTTCTCCCTCAGAGTGTAGTCGGCGGTGACGCACTTGCCTCCAAATTCGAATAAGAAGAAATATTTTTCAGCCTCATACCACCTGCCCGTATACTGAAACATTCAAAAGGAATATGATTTTTGTGATTATTGTTTATAATCCTATGTCAGAGCTTATTGTCTCACTTGGTATAATTCCAACAAACTCCAAGCAAGAAACTAAAAATGTCCCAATAACTAATAACTGGAACGAACTAAATGCTAGTTCGTGCCCAATACCCAGACCCCCAGACCCTCAGACTAAGTCTTATTGTATTAAATTTACTCATGACTCGCAACAAAATTGACGTTAATGTAGTGCGCCCCAGCGCGGCTTGAAAGCAGTCGAGTTACTTCGACAAAAAGTTACGAGTGACAATTATTCAGACCGAATCCTTTTGTAGTTGAAGTTAGTGTTGCTGCAAAAAATAATTTAATAAGGATACTTTTTTAAGAGTTTTATATACTACTTTACCTCATGACAACTTAAAAAAATCAAGTTATGAGTAAAAAAAAACGTATAAATTAATTTTGACAAAGCAATTTTTTTAGTCTCAGGTCTCAGGCTTATACAAGAATTCGTAAAAAAATTAAGAACCGGTTACAAAATATCTAATTAAGTTTTTGCTAGCGTAACTTGATGGATAATTTGACGTATGAATTATGTGTTAATTTATTTATTTAATCAGACATTGACAATAAGGCCTATAAAAGCTAACGTTGTAATTTGCATCATCCCGAGTTAAATCTGTCTGTTAATCAATTCTCTTAATTCCTTTTCTACATATGGAAGAATTTGATTATTATTAGATTGATTATAAAATGTTAGAGATCATGAGATTTGATATACATAGAATTGAACTACTTGAAATGGAAGATGAAACTGTTTTTAAATCATACGCCCCGTAGATGGATGCCCGCAAACCAAAGCTAGCTTTTTTTATAAGGCTTTTTCTTATGTGATAGTTCGACAAACGAGCTCGTTTGTCGGTAAGCAATCAGCGGCGCCCATGGACACTCACAACAACAGAGCAGTTACGAGTACGTTGCCGTCCTTTTGGGGATTTGGGATTGGGGAGGTATTAATTGAGGGGAAGGATTGGGCCTCCAGTAACCTCACTCACACGGCGAAACACAACGCTGTGGTTGTTTTCTGGTATCACTCCAGTCAAGAAGACCCATTCGTGCCGAAGCATGGCTCTTCCACACTTAAATTGCTTCTAATTCGAAATAATAAGTAAATGAGACAAGTAAAAATAACTCACTCGTGTAGCATCGAAGTTGTCCAAAGCTTTCATGTCGGGACAGGATCCTGGCATAATGATCTGTGCTCTGCATAGCCTTAGAGACAGAAAACCGCACAAAAACACTGCAATTGCTCGTAGTACTGACATCTGAAATTAATAAATAAAATCGATTAACCTACTTATACTAATATAAAGCTGAAGAGATTGTTTGTTTGAACGCGCTAATCTCTGGAATTACTGGTTCGAATTGGACAAAAGTGTGGTCACGTGGTAGAAAAAACTGATACAGAGTAGAATAAAGTTAACATTTCTGTTCTGTCCGTGGTTATCATTAGAGCTGACTAAGGAGTAAATATTCGGCAGATATCAGTCATCAGCGCTCTCTGATTGTATTTCTTTTTTCTCAATTTGCCTGTCAAGCATGAGCATGAAGCTTCTGGCATACCCTTCTTATAAAGGGACCTCTTACAAAGAATCTCGCGGCTCATAGTCTAGTCAAAAAGCCATAGACAGCAGACAGTGCAATTTGGTTTTGAAAAAAGATAATTTTATAAATCCTTTCCCCACACTAGCATTTTCTCTTGTGTCGTGGGTGCGTTTACAAACATACAATTTCACATGCACATCACACCCAGACCCGGAACAATCTGTGGATCACACAAAGAGTTGTTCCGTGCGGGAATCGAACCCGCGACACGTTGCGCGCCAGTCAGTTGCCCAGCCACCGCGCCAACCGTGCAGTCAAACTCGAAAATGATACATGAAATGAAATAACATCACAACAGTTTGCCTTTTTAGCACTTCCTAGTATATTTATACATCACGCGTGATTACTGTCTGTCTGTCAGTGTGCGGTTTTGTATGTAAATTTGACCTTCAATATTACCTAATAATCAACTGTTCGTACGTCACAAATGTTACTCATGTTATCTTTTATTGTAAGGCGTCAATATTTGTTTTAGCCACTCCAAACGTTATGTTTGTTTTTGTTTTTCAATAAAGGATTGTCTAGAGTTACTTTTTAACTGATTCATAGAACGAACTGTAGTTTTGTTATCTTGATAGCAATGCTTTGGGTGCGTCTTTTAACATTTACTTAGGGGAACTTTACGCCTTTTATTCCTCCGGTGTTGATAACCAGCCTATAAGTAGGTTTTGCTGAAAAATGCGTCTTTCTCGCGCGGAGAACGAATTAGCTTCGATCAACATTGCTCAAGGCAGATTGGCCGTTTCAAACTTACCTATATGTAGATAATTAGAAATTATAAATACAGGTTTTTACCCTGCCTTACTATTTCACTTCAATGGTGTCTTAAATCTTAAAGAGCATTTTAACAGCCATAAAAATAAATTGCATTTTTCAATTTTAATTTTTAATTTATTCAAAGTTATAATTTACGATCATAAATAATTAAGAATCTTAATGTAAAGTCTTTGAATTGCAATTTGTGTGCAACAACATTAGGTAGTAGACGGTTCCCAGACAAATACAAAGTTCAATAGATTCTTTACTTATACCTACCTAAGTCATTAGACTGAAATTAAACTAATTTAAATGAAGATTCATTTGGAATTGAATAATGTCCTACATTCTTACCAACCGAGTACATAAGGAATGATTAAAAACAAAATAAAAACTACCTATTTTCATGACCCTAATGCGTCATATTGTTCACAAATAGGTAGATACTATTGCTATAGTCTTTTTGGGACAGTCACCTAATACCTACCTAATATCCGTACTATATGAGAGCAGTGGAGCGTGATTACTTGTTTATTTCCGGGCTCTGAGTTTCCTATTAAGGGTTCAGGTGTCGGTTTTATTTCAAATGTACATAAACTCATGTAGATATTCGTAACTGATAAAGGCGATGCGTGAGAGGGAACTATGCTACTCAAACCCAGCCACCGCAAGGCCAGAACGAAACCTGAGTGGGCTTCACGTCGCGTCGCGTTTCGCCTGTGCCTCATAGAACTAAAACGCTACGAATGGGGTCCAATAGAGCTGATGTTCAGTTTGGATTGCGGGTATAAGAGTAATATGTACCGCAGCCCCAGCCATGAAGGACCGGGTTGGTTTTTAGTCAGTAAGAGTCTGACACTCCCTTTCGTCTCAGACAGGGTGAGAGAACACATTAAAAAAAAAACGTTGGACTGTTCTATTGGATTGCATTACTTACTTACCCTAAATTACATATTCTAAATAATAATAATGTTGTAGCACATTTTTGTTTGATACTAATGAACAATTTTGAGTGATTCATTTTGGGTTATTAAATTTAAATTAAGTACATCAAAAACCATTATGAATGCAGTTCAGTTTTTACAGTTCGTTCTAAAATATGAAACATTAACTTGGGCTAGACTGAGCTCAATCTGCATCTTAGTTGTATCAACGTTTATGAAGATTAATTGAAATATGGGAACATATACAAACAAACAAACATACAAAAAAGCTTATATCCCTAAACATTATACTACATTCCCGCTGTCTAGGTAGAATACATAAATCATTGTTATGTATACATATACTTATATATGTGTGACACAGGGGGTCATTAACCCACAATACCAATTTCAAGCTAATTACAACGCAAACAAATGTTAATGATCTGCGTGACATGAAAAAAACATGCAACAACTACTCCATTGTTTTCCCCGTTCCATATTGAAAGAGAAAACTGGTTTTAGTCCGAGTGACACCTGGAACCGCGCTTTTGTTTCAGTAATGGAGTCGTGTATTGTTTTTGTTTTCATTTATTTTTGACTGTTGCATCTTGCAAATGGTAATGATTTTGTTTTATTTTTAAGTTTTACAGTTCACCTTGTATGTTTATCTGTCTGTTATTCAAAATCAAAATTTGAATGGTAAGTGAATGTATGTATGTGTGAACCAAGGCTGTACCTAATGTTTTATACGAGCAAAAACTAAATACGTAAGTACTTAAGTAATCTGGATTAATAACAATTGTGACATGAAAAAACTTGTTTGAATTTTGACTTCCACGTTGAGTCAAATAAGACTTAATTAAACACGTCATTATAAGAAAAAAATTAAGTCTGTATATATGTTTCTTTTTGTTTTATACAATAAAAAGAAAAATACAAACATCCTGGTTGATCGACAGGTTTTGTTTTGGGTTGGACCTTACACAGTTTTGGATTGTATAATATGGGACATAAGGCCCATATTTTTATAACATGGGCCTCATAACTGGCAAAGTAACATTATGTGATATCCTATCCCTAAGAAGATGGAGTAACATCATGCAATGAACTTTGAAACACATTACGTCGTCATCAGGAGAAATGCGTCTGGGAGAGCCATGCTTCGGTACAAATGGGTCGGCTCGACAGGAGTGATACCACGGCCTCACAGAGAAGCGTAAAGTAACACTTAAGTTGTGTTTTCGTGTGAGTAAGATCATCGGAGGCCCAATTCTTCCCCCTTCCCCCATCCTGAACCCTCAAATCCCCTATAACAGAGTAATCCCCCCTGTAACAGGCACTACGAGTCGCTATGGGCGGCGCTGATTGCTTACCATCAGGTAATCCGTATGCTCGTTTGCCGACCTCTAACAAAAAAGAAATATATACAAATCTAATGAGCCCAAACACACAAGTAGGTTGTCCAAGGTTCCATCAGCCATATTTCAATTATCAGGCTAGGTCGATTGCATCATAATATTGTACAGTCATCTAATTTAAATTATTCTTAGATTTTATTTTATAGTATGTTATAGGTCGATTTAAAAACGAGTTAAAATATAATGGTACTTTCAGTTTTTTTTTATACATGACTAGCTATTCCCGCGCTGTTTAACTTACTGCTCGACTCCATTTGATTGTAGAGTGATGTTTTATAGCCTTATAGCATTCGGCAACATTGTAGCTATCTATCAGTGAAAGAATGTTGGGATTATGGGAATCCGGCCAGTGATTCCAAAGATTACCCCCTACATACAAATTTACAACATACCCTCTCACCCTGGGCGAGAAAAAGTCATTAGATGATTTTCCCCTAAAAAAAAGGGCGGGAGAAATCATTGGATGATTTTCTCCTAGAAAAAGGGCGACAGAAATCATTGGATGATTTTCCCCTAAAAAAAGGGCGGGAGAAATTATTTAATGAATTACCGCCCTCAAAAAGGCACCTTTACACATGACTTACCTGAGTAACTAAGCGATATTCCAAAAAGTGTTTGTCCTAATCAATCATTTGTAATATAAAGTTGTTTCCTCTAATTTACATATTAAAAAATCGTTTTATTTTAGCTGTTAATCTAGAGACCTTTAAAGTTTAAATCATTCGATGTAAAGGCCAACAGTCAGTCTGTTAGTAGGTCGAATCAAAGCGAGGAAATAAGAATATCAATTGTATGTAAAATTCTAGAAAATGTATGTAGTATTTATTTATTTGTGTATTAAATTTATCTGATTTACAAAATAGTTTATCTTAGAGTAGAAAAATAAGTAATTGATAAGTGGTTTTTGTGTGTTTCTTTTACAATTTCCTCGATATAATTAAGCAAGTTAATAAAAATATAAGCAAGTACAACTTTCTTCTGTCAAATTGTGGATTTATCTACTTTCACATAACATATTATATTAAACCTTATTCTAAAATGAATAAAGACTACGCTGAAATTTTTAAAACGACAAATCCAATAGGTTCAATAATAGAATTCTTAGATAAACTAAGACCAGGCTTTGAACTATTTAAATTCAAACAACGATTCCTTTGTTAATAATTATGTATTTCCCAAAAAATGTGAGAGTAGTCAATGTACGACCCTCCATACTCAACTTGACAATTTTTCAGACATAGCTCAAACAACGGCTGTGCTTAGCAGGATACAGAATAAAAAAAAATATATGTAAATCCAATATTAAGGCCACATAATAAAATAAATACATTCAATAAACTGCTATATATTGCAGTAGGTCAATAATGTCCTTAGTAAGTGTGTTAGCGTTTACCGTGCCGGATAACGGTTGTCAGCGCTTGCGCATGCATCGACACTACATGAGCGAGAGCGATTTTGTTAATGTGTTTTTTTTTAATAATATAAAACATTTACTGATTATATTTTCATAGGAAAAAAGGAGCAAATATAATATGGGAATATTTTATTTTTTGTGTTTTT